AGCTAATCTCTTCAGACACACTAAGAGTAAGAGTCCTGGACCTGACTGTCTGTGGACAGCTACTGAGAACAGCTGAGTGGGATTTTTCACCATCTTCTCACTTTCTTCAGAGCTGCAGACGGTACCTAAGATCTGGAAACATGCTCCTGTTGCTGAGGGCAGTTCTGCTGAGGCACTGAATGATTTTAGGCCTGTGGCTCTGACTTCTTTAGTGATGAAGACATTTGAGAAGACCCTTCTTACTTGCTGACAGGCTTTACAATCATTTAAACTAGTGCGGTCGGCTGGGCGACAGACTTTCTGACTAACAGGTCACAATGTGTGAATCATGTGTTTCCTGATGTGCTCTCCTCCTCTGCATCAGCCCAGCTGCTGCCTCTCCCCTTCTGTTCATTCTGTACATGAGTGAGTGTCGCAGCAGTTTCACAAACAGACACATCCTGAAGTTTGCTGATGACACAGTGATCGTCAGGCCATGGACAGGTTGTAGATGATGTGTATTGGTGTGATGAGTCCTTCCTGTCACTTAATGTATCAAAAACTAAAGACATGATTATTGATTTTAAGTCCTCTTACAGCTCATCACCCTCTGTCATTAAACCGCTGATACTGGGATCGTTGAGTTATAAATATCTGTCTGTGGTACTGACCATAAACTGTTTTGAATCTCGTGCTGATGCCACTAAAAAGTTCAACAACGACGGTTCTTTTTAAGGAAAATGAGATCTTTTAATGTCTCATCTGTTGTCTTTGTTTTATAGAAGTTTTATGGAATCTGTGACGTTGTATCGCTGCCTGGTTTGGTAACCTGACGGTGAAGAATAAGAATCAGTTGGGACTTCTGGGCGCTGGCAAGATGGACTTTTGGCCATCGACAATATTAAATGTGCTTTTAAAGGCTCATTCTGCTGTTAGTTGTGTGAACCAAACACTTCACAGTGAGTTTAAGTTGTTGCCTTCCAGCTTTAGAGTATCTGAGAGGAAGAAAGAAGACTGCAGCTGTTTTATCTCTGCTGCGTCTCGTCTCCTTAAAGGCAAAAACATTATTTATTTACCTTCAATGACCTTTGAATTCACAAACAACCAAAACATTTATCTGAGAGTAAAATGGGATCAGATAAACCAGCAGAGCTCAGTGAAGGTCGTTGACCTCTGCCCCCTGCTGCCACCGGGAGGCAACTACAGCTCAGAGACCCTGTTTGTTCCTCTGAGCTGACCTTTGACCTGTGAGTTTAATCAGGGTCACAGCAGGTTAACATGGTGACTGGATG